TCCTCTCAAGCTTCCAAAGAGGGATGTCATTATTGAGTTGGTACGGCAGCTTTTTCTAGCTGGAATTGAAGAGAGAGAATTATATAGGACAATAACTCATCTATAATTTTCTTTAAATCACATAATTGAAAATAGTTTTCGTTCGTTCTCAATATCAAAAGAAAATAGATATTATGTGATGAATACGAGATTTGAGTTTATGATCTTATGATAAATTATCGAATCAGTACTAATCCTTTGAAGGAATCTCTTAGTGTCTTAATCGAACTTCGATTAGTAATCCTCGAGTACAATGAATACGAGATTTGAGTTCATGATCTTACGATAAATTATCAAGTCAGTAATCCTTTGAAGGAATCTCTGAGTGTCTTAATCGAACTTCGATTAGTAATCCTCGAGTACGATAAATACGAGATTTGAGTTTATGATTTTACGATAAATTATCAAACTAGTAATCCTCGAGTACGATGAATACAAGATTTGAGTTTATGATTTTACGATAAATTATCAAACTAGTAATCCTCGAGTACGATGAATACGAGATTTGAATTTATGATTTTACGATAAATTATCAAACTAGTAATCCTTTGAAGGAACCTCGAGCGTCTTAATCATTCGACTAGTAAACATCAACAAATTCATCGAAGGCTTGTTGAGCATTATCGATCACCGAATCACGCATGTTGTTGGAGCGAATTAAGTATGTGGGCATCATGATTTGTATCTTTACACCCATGGTCTCCATCTACACTTCAACTCTTGGAAGGACTCTCATCAGATCTGGAGTTTGATCTTGCAATCATGCACCAAGGGGACAAAATGAAGGTTCTGCCAAGGATGTGCAGCTCTACCATACATGAAGTTGGGATTCAGAAACACTAAATTCTGGTCCAATCATTCACTTGCCGGCAAGAAGATTGCTGGCAAGCATCAAGGACTTTTTGTTTGGGACCACCCAGCCTGCCAATGAGAGGATTATTTCGTAAGCTTTATTCATATTTATTGCTAAAAATCGATTGCAAATATCAAATGTAAGGATCACAGATAGTTCTTTTTTTTTTTTTTTTTGCGAGTTTTTAGATCTATCCGACTCGCTTAAATCAGATTAAAAATTTCTTGTAATCTTTCTCTATCGCACTGCTATGCTAACTTCCGATTCGATCACATAATTTTTCTATCAATGATTAAAGTATTTATTAGCTAAGCTAGTTAATATTTTTTAAACATTATGTTACGACATAATAATGTTATATCCGATTTTGGATAGAGGAGAAGAGAAGATAGATAAGGAAAGTAGGAAAGAGAGAGAGAGAGAGAGAGAGCAAATGAGGCGATAGGAAGAAAGATAAGAAGAGCAATAGGAAGGAATAAATGATGGAAGAAGATAAAATGCAAAATGACAGTGCCATATTTGTAGTCTTCCTTTGCGAAACAAGCAATCGAATAGCCTATCATCCCCTCCAAATGACTCCGTGGCCCAACTCGCAGGCAATCGCCGATAGATTCTGATCCATGGAAAGCCTAAAGCTCGCATGCCACGAAGCGTCTCTCCGATGGTTTCACGAAGCATAAGTGGGAAGGCAAGACATTACTGCCTTCGAAGCGTGCATGCTTCCACGAGTGCAGATCGGAGAGGCATGGCATCTTCGAGGCGCTGGCGATAAAGATTAAAGAGAGGACAGGGACGTGCATGGCAAAAGGATGCAGCAAGGTGTGGCTTTGTGACCACCGAGGTTTTTATTCCCCGTCCCTCCCTTGCATCGGGGCAGGAGAGTGTGTCCGGGTTCAATGAATGCAATCTATGTATGTGCTCCAACTTTGGATTCTCCCGGGGATAACTGGATAACCATGCAAGCGCTTGAATAAAGGAGGCTTAGCACCATTATATAACCCTCGGAGAAGCTGGTTTGTAAGCTCAAGGAAGACTCAGTTCAGAGACGAGCGTCGGATGTCCTCTGGGGTTCCTTCAAAGCACTTCGGTAGGGCCATTTCCAGCCTCGGATGTCATCGGCCCTCACTGAAGTGTTTGGGGGAACTCCGGCTGGCATTCCACGGCCGCCGCATTGTTCATTCACACCATCGTGTCTTCAGCTACCATGCACAGACACACACACACTCACTCTCACTCTCACTCTCTCTCTAACATTGCATGCAGAGGAATGAATGGAAGCAAGAGTTGGATGTCATCTGGAGTTCCTTCAAACCACTTCAGTAGGGTCATGCTTCGCCTCGGATAAGCATCAGCCCTAACTGAAGTGTTTGGGGGAACTCTGGATGGCATTCCACCACACCCAGAAGGACTCATATGTGACAGACAGGCATCCTTGCTTGCCAAATTGTTCAGATCATTCCATCTTTAGATAGACACTAAATCGTTTGATGCACAATGCAAAAAGGTTGGAAAACCATATGATCATTCTCTTCCTAAAAGGTGGATTGTGTCATCCAAAATTGCCTTTAGGTGTGTCGACTAAAATATTCCTCATAGCCATTCGGATGTGGGCGACGCTTTGTAAAGCATACAAGTTGGAGTGCTCCCCCCCAAAGAACTACTTTCGAGTATTTATTTCTGATCACTTGGCTCACATGATCTTTGGATCAAAGTCTGCATACCACAAGCGAGATTAGGGTTCAACAAAATCTCAAGTGTTTGAGAGAATTCTAGGAGACATGCAGCCGACACAACAGTTGGGAGGGGCTGGGCCAGTCGAAAAGGCCATGGCTCGGCCATGGCCTAAGATTGCCACTGCACTCCATTAGGGCTTCCAGCCGAGTCTCAAGTGTCATATAGGTTTCTTGGTCATGTTTTCTTTGTAGATTCTGTAAATGAAGACCGGATGAAGATTTTTCAGAGTCATAACCCAGACAGTGATCTGCGTCTTTAATTCCAGGTTACAACCCAATCCAAGTTTCACGTGAAGACTCCAAAGCTTCGTCTTCCAATTCCCATCTTGAAGAACGCATCAGGATGTCGTTCTTCATCCTCGAGTGCACTGATGTGTGAGTCGAGCATGTATGCAACATGGCATGGTCTCGAGAACTCTTTTTTTTTCCCTTCCTCTACAGGAAATAAATGGGTTGGGTAAAGGCCAAGAACAAACATCAAGTTCTGGATGCAGATCCTTCGACGAGCCAACCACAACAACTCGATCGTACCCGCCGCAGAAAGATCGGCCAGCCTTTCAGAGCTATAGTATTCTTGTGATCCACGTACAGAAGCGAAATGATAAAGCAAGAAATCTCAGTTCTAATGGAATCATGCAGAGGAGGAGGAGGAGGAGAGTACTCCAAACTGAAGCTGATCCAGAGCTCCTCGCCATCTCATAAACTTGCCGAGGCTCGCAGACCTCAGCAGGATGGTCCACGACATGATAAAAGCAAGAAACATCAGACTGGAGACAATGGACTGCTGCTAATCCAGGCCTGGCAGTCTCTCCTAGATCGGACGAAGCATTCCCTATGGGATCACAGCAGGGACGAGGACCACCGGATCTTGGGGTGGTCCATGAAGAGAGATCTCGTAGCAGTGTCTCGTGCAGGAGGGGGAACTCCACCGTCGCGGTTGGACGGGGGTGGGGTTAAAACACATTCTGACACACCTTCAGCTTCGTTCTTGTGAGGCTGCTCCTTATTAGTTAGTAGGGTTTGGGAGCTTTCGGTAGAGATCTTCCTGTTGTATTGGCTCCTATAGCTGACAGACTTCCACTTTATGTTTCAGATAGGACGCAGTCTGAGCATTGCTTGCTTTAAGGGAATGCATGGCAGCAGACTGCACTTTCTTTTACTTTTTTTTTTTTTTTGAACTTTATTTAATGTCAATATTTTCTATCAATAATTATGCTATTTTTTGAATGATATACTCTCTTTGTTTAATAGCAAGTAATGTGTATTCTTAATTAGTTTTGTGTTAAATGGTTTTTATTAATAAATATAAGGCGTATTAATGTTCTCAGGAATAATTTGCAGAGTTTTGAAATTAAATCTCATTTTTCTTGTAGAAAAATTTGTTATGCATATTTATCTTAGAAAAATATGATAATATGAAGCCGAATTCTTAAAAGAACTTTAAACCAATCAACTATAAGCCATTTATGAATGGTTTATAGGTCAAGATGTTGTGGATAAACTCATTCTTATTAGGCCCATTACATTATATTAAATATTTATGTTAATAACGAATATACCTTATGATTTTTTGAATGAATATTTAGTAAAATATTAAAATTATAGCATCATTTTTATTTACTTTGAATACGTCACGAGAATAGGAAAAATACCTTAAGACTATCAATAAAAGATGAAATAGTAATCACTAACTCCTTTATATAAGATGTGCATATTGGTTCACTGTTCACAATAAAACTTCAAAACTAGGGAAATTTTCCCATGGATTGACTAAAATCCAACTTGGATGAACTAAACAGCCATCATCAAATCCATGTTCTGTGATGGATTGTAAAGAAATCAAGAACATAATTGGTGAGTAATGATTATAAAAACTTGTATGAGCTCGTAAAAGAAAATTCATCACTTCATTCATGTCCCACTGTTATTTGCAAAGAGATTAAAGAAAACTAATCTCTGCATCTTTGATGCAAGCAATCTGTGTGGTGTAAATAGTTTGTTAACAGAGAATTAATGTCACAAATCCTGTGCCTATACAAATCACAGAGTTCACATCTGCTGCAACAAATGGGCATCAATCATTAATGAACCACTCATTGATACAATAATTACGAGCATCATCATATCAATCTCTAGTTCAGTAGATGTGGCTGAAAGATGTTCTTAATGTACTGAAGAAAGCTCAATCATTAGACAACATTACATTTCATGCTGATTAGTAGGTCCAAACAAGGGTCTAATCCAATCAAAGTTCAGAGTATTGTAATGTATTAGCACATCAAACCAGTTCATGTCACTGGTTATTGTTACATGCAATTGAGGTTATATTAATAACAATTCCTTCATGATTAGTAGAAAGTTCTCATAAATCAACATCAGCTCCAGGGCCAGACAGGTAAGAAGACTGTGTTCATGGTTGGCAACCAGTCACTGTAATGAACTGTGGCTGTCCCTGTGAAGAAACAACATGGCAATACACTCTTAATTGTGTGAAAAGACACCTGCTTAAAACGCCAGAAATGGCTACAAACAAAGAGGGAGACGACAAACACATACATTTAAGAGGAAGAGAGAGATGACTGAGATGGAGAAGCTAATTTATCTTGCTTATCTTACAAGAAAATCATGGCATTTACCTGAGCCTTCGACACAGGGGAAGTGAAGCAAATTCACCTGACTACTGCCACCAGACCTTTTGCTGAACTTTTTTAAGTACTCCATATTAACCATGGGATGTCTGCAAAAGTATATGTGGTATAGATGCTTGTGATGATGGAAGGATGGAGAACTCTTGATCCACTTCAACCAAGTTAGCATTATGTAGTGAATGATGTTAACTAAAGCTTGATATAAAATGAGGACTAAAGTTATGTATGTTCCTACCTGAAGCAGTTGGGGTATTCGCAGTCGTGGAGTTTCTCTACAATTCAGGTTGCAGTGTGGACTGCTGCAACGCAGAGAATGATACACAACAGGCTTTGAGACAAGCTTGCCATGCTTGTTTTTGGGTGATAAGTTGCCCACCAGCTACCAAAATACCTTCAAAAGTTGGAATATGAGTATATGTGGCAGAAAACATATTTCTTATTTTGTTTGGTGAGTGCCTATTGGAAAGAACATACTTGATTGAATTTGGTTATTATTATTATTATTATTATTATTATTATTATTATATACCATTTTAGTTAATCTTTGTTAGTTGACCATGGAGAAAATAACAGTAAAACATAAATTAATATTAGTAGCCCTTCGAAAAATGTTGAAAATATGAAGGATCAAATAATTGATGAGAAAGATTGAGGGAAAAAACAAAAGGCTAACTTCCAAAATAAAGGCTTATCTAA